CAATACCTGAATGGACTAATAACTTAAAATCGGTTTTAATGACGTCGTGTCTATTACTAGAAATGTACATGTAAATAGAATATGATATATTATTTTAGAATGACTATACTATATTTTTCAATATTGAAAGCTTTTTTAAAAGATGTCTAGTTATAATTTACAGGAACGATATAATTTTAAAAAAAATGCAGTCGAGCTTCTTAAATATTATATATAATTAAAGGAATAAGGAGGTTTAAATATCTCTACTATGGTAATTTCATAAAGAAATTGCAAAAGGAAAAAGTTGAACAAAACTCAAAGCCCAATGAATGAATTATTTAACTTATGATACATACGAAACTACATTACATATTCTACGCCTATTCAATATCTGTTATAATCTCATAGACTTTGCCTACAAAAGTATTTTGTCTTGAAAAGACGCTCAAAAACCAAAAAAAAGAGATAAATAGGACAAAAAAGATAAAAAAGTTGTTCAAAAAGAAACAAAAATTTTGCGAAACAAATATTAGGAATTATGGATTTTCAATAGACCCCCTAAATTGCGTAAAACTTTGTCAACTTTGCGCTAAGAAATAACAATAACAACAAAAACCACAGTAATGACCGCAAATTAAATGTAAATTTGTGGAACATTGAAAAAGATTTATTTTATGAATACAGCAATTCCAACAACAATTCGCACAAAGTTGATAAAGTTAACAATGAAAAGATAATAAAGTTTGAGAAACTTTTCTTTTCAACCCAGAAATCGTCACCGCAAACAGCTTTTGTCTCTCCACTTTCCATTCCGGCTGTGGTTTTGATTTCGAGAAATGTCAATGAATTATAATTGAGTGAGTTTGTATCAAAAAGTATATATTAATTTGTGTATTTGTAATAAATTGTGTACTCTTAAAAAAAACCAAATACAGTAAAAACACGATACACGTTGTATGTTATATTATAATACATTGATGACTTCAGTTAGATGATAGGAATAGGAATGAACGCGGTTGTAGCTCCCAACTGAGCGGAGTACTGCGACCATGATTGGTATTTTATGCTCAACAGACTGTAACCGAACAGAGGACATTCCGCATTCCGAATGAAGGCTAGAATGTCGGCCGTTGAGGACGTCCTAATGTCAGAAGGTCAGTTAGATGGTTATCTTTTTTGAATAACTCTAAATTAATTTAAAATTTAACTCCTACAAGTATTCTAATTCTTGTCATTTATTCCGCTTTAAGGGTGAACTATTTTATGGCTATTATGAAAAAATAATCCAAAATTCGTGTACGTCAACCGTACATGCTTTATGTTAGGACATCTAATAGAAAAATGTTGATATATACTCCTATATATTGAGGTTATGCTGTAAGCACTTTATGTTTCCATATCCATTCCATGCAGGAAGTAACACCTTTCCTTAAATACTTACATCATATACTGATTATATTTACTATTAGTTAAGGACAAATAACATTTTAAATAAGATTTCTGTGTACTCGTGAGTTACGAAACATCTTTTCCAACATTTATAATAATTATAGTAATAAATTGTGACACTAGCCTTTTTATAATATAGTAATATAACATAGTATCTTTATGTTATATTAAGTTGCCATTTTTCAGCTCTATATATTAAGCTTATCCCCACTAGTTGAAATGTTTGACCACCTACAAATTTTTATCGATATAAGCTATTTTTGAGTCAATTTGTTATCTTCATAATCAGAAAGATCACTTTGAATATCAAATATAAATATTAAATTAAGAAATTTCGAATAAATACTTATGATTTCAATATCAAATTATAAGTAAGTTATCAGATAGCCGTCTTAAAGTGATTTATATACATTCTTAAAGAAGGCATGTCGTCTTATATTCATACATCTTCACTCTTGGAGTGTCATGTATTTTTTTCGGAGAAAAATATAATTTCAGTCATTTTTAAAAGTTTGTAATAGTTTCCAAAAATATTTGGTAACATTCATCTCTAGTTGAATTAAATTAAATTAAATTAAATTAAATTAAATTAAATTAAATTAAATTAAATTAAATTAAATTAAATTAAATTAAATTAAATTAAAAGTATTTAAATTAAAATTTATTAAATTAATATCAATTATATTAAAATTAATTAAATTAAAATTAATTAAATTCAGTTTACTTGAATTAAAATTAATAAAATCAAAATTAATTAAATTAAATTAAATTAAAATGAAATAAATTAAATTAAATTAAATTAAAATAAATAAAATTTTAATTAACTTAATTTAAATCGATAAAATTAAGACGAATTAAATTAAGATTAATTAAATTTAAATTAATTAAACTAGAATTAATTAAATTTTAAGAAATTTAAATTAAAATTGACTTAATTAAAATTATTTAAATTAAAATGATTACATTAAAATCATACTAAATTAAATTTAGTTAAATTAAAATCAAGTTAAATTAAAAATAATAAAATTAAAATTTATAAAATTAAAATCAATCATATTAAAATTAATTAAATTAAAATTAACTCAATTAAAATTAATTTAATTAAATCAAATTAAACTCAAATTAAATTAAAATTAATTAAATTAAAATTAATTAAATAAAAATCAGGTTAAATTAATAATAATGAAATTAAAATTAAATTAAATTAAAATCAATTATATTAAAATTAATTATATTTAAAATTAAATTCAATTAAAATCAATTAAATTAAAATTAAATTAAATTAAATTAAATTAAATTAAATTAAATTAAATTAAATTAAATTAAATTAAATTAAATTAAATTAAATTAAATTAAATTAAAGTGTGTACACACAACTAAACAAAATTGAAAAATGTGCCACTGTGCACATTTTTATATCTGATTCGAGTATCTTTTCCTTTAGGTAAGGGAAATAATATTTATTTAGAATATATTATTTTTTCCAGCAGGCAAATTTGAATCTTTTTAGTTTAAAACATTTTTATGTACTTAAAAAGTTTTTCTTGAGTTATTTAGAAATGTATATATCATAAAAATTACCCTCATTACCCCCTACCTTGATAATGCAGTGTTTTTATTATATTTATTATTACTTTTATTATTATGTAGACATATAGTACCGCGATTTTAAAATCATAATTTTAAGTCGTTCCCGAGTAAAGCACCAGAATTATTTGTTTAATGAAAAAAAGAAGAATTTAAAAAATTCTCTAAAATTCTAACATTTAATTAAACGCGTAAATACTCAGTTCTAATAAACTACATTCTGTTAAGTCTGTTATAGTATTATTAGATATTACTGCACCTTAAATGCATTGCATTCCAAGCCAAGAAGTAAAGAATATAAAAGTTTTTAGATAACCACATATTTGTCATTTATGCATCTTACAATTTATATAGAAAATTACAATATTCTTATCTTGTTTTATTTTTAAATTTAATACTGCTTTTTTCAGTTTTAAGGGAAAATCAGCAGATACTATAATGCTTTTCTTCTTACCAGTAGCAAGATTATACTTTAGTGATAGCTAAAAATTTCTTAGAGCGTTGATGCCCAAAGGGGCAGGAATCAGATGATTATTAATCTCATGAGTATACTAGGATTATTTAAATAATTTAAAAATATTTTATTCTTTTATTTGTGACCAGTTTACTTGTAGATCACTACCGAAGATAGTCGAAAATATCGGAAAAATATTTTAATAATATATAATTTGTTATTAAATATAAATAATAAATTATAGTTTTTTTTTTATTTCTATTTAAGTGACCAATTAGCCCGCTAATAAATTATTCTAAATTATTATATTAAATAATTTAAGCGAATTTGTTCTAATAGACGCATTCCCTTTTTTGTTCTTTACGAGGCTTTGTCGGTAGTTTTACAGGGAACGGCGATTGATTGCTTCAGTAGGATTTTTATGAAAATTGAAACAAACTGAAAAATAAATAAAAAAATCCATTTAGGTTGACACCTACCATAAAGTAATCAACATTTGTACATTTGTAGTATTAGTGTTAAAAAACGTAAATTTTCGTTTTTTTCAATTAATATGGCAACTAAAGTCTCATAGAAGTAGAATATATTTCATATATATTCTGTACTATTCTGACACTTAACATAGATATATTTTTATAAAATTATGTTATGCATTATTTATTTATTTACAATATATTTATATATATTTATTTATATATATTTATATTTATATATTTATTTATATACACACGTATATATACGTTTATTTATATTATGTATTTATGTTTATTTTTTTATGTTATTGTAGATATATTATGTCTTCATTAAAGTTCCGTAAGTTAATTGATGCGATAAAATAGTACATCACTTTTAAGGTTTAGATTTAATACAATTATTCATTCTGTAAAATCGACTGCTTTATAATCCTCGATTTTTTTTGATTATCTACTTGTTAGAAAATATAAGTATAAAGGTAAATAAACTGTATTTTTATAAATATTATTTTTAGAAATATTAATTTTAAAAACAGTAGTTGAATATATATGTATATTTTATTACTAGTTTTGTCTTATTTATTATATTTTATTATTAAGGGGATGTTAAAGTTTATTATGTTCTTAAAAAGTTTTTACGCATTATAAATTCCAGCAACCGAAATTTCTCTTTTAGAATAGTCATTGAAGTCATCTCTATACACAGAAAAAAAATTATCATAACAATAAGAGAATGATTTGTTTCGAATTATATTAATTTTCACTGATAAAAATCATATTCAAACTATTCACTCAACTACAAAATAAAACAAAATACAAAATAAATTTTAAATATTTTAATTCATAATAGTTTTTTTGTTGCTAAGGTAAATACTTTTTCCGCTGAAGTGAATATTTGCAAGCACTTAAGCTATTTTGCATGTCAAAAAGATATGTAAATGCTTCCATTCACAGCATAAATTTCTTGTTCATTTACTTTTCATTCAACGGAAAATTTTTGAATTCATCTTTAATATAAAAATTACTACAAAAAGCTGAATATAGCAACGACTTACTTTGCATCGTTGATGTTATTCAAGTTTTCTCTGTTCTCAATTATTTTTGTTAGTACGCCAATGACTTCTGAGCGATTTAAATTACTCGATATCGCCGTACTGATGGAGCTCAAGTCAAACCGCTTGACAGCCAACACAGTGCAATTCACCAACAGTTCTGTATCCACAATTTCAGACATATTTTTGTAAAATTTATGCCGACTTAATCCGACTTAAATTATTAATTTTTTATATTTTAAGCATTGAGATGCTTTTAAATATTTTTGTATATTTTTGGCTTTGTAATAAAACTTTTACACTTTTCTGATCAAATGATTAAGTACTATTTATGTGTAGGTTGAATACACTACCCTTTATCCTATCGCATATTTGTACTTCACCATAATGTGTTCATTGTTCAAAGCATTACGAGTAATTAACACTTTTCACGTCAGCAAAGCGAGACTCGAAAAAAAACAGCATAAAGTGAAAGTATGAGCTTCTCTTTTATGTCAAATGCACTTGCGGAGGACATCAACGGAAATAGAAAGGATGAGACACGCACACAAATGCACAACTACACAACTACTGTTAAGTTTACAATTTCGCTACACACAAAGGCGGCGTTTAATCGTCGCTGCGGTTAAATGTCGCACATATTGTACATTTTATCTTAAGATCTTCAAACACAAGTAAATGATTAATGCATTTGTTTAAATTAATAGAAATTTAATATTAAATTTTTAATTTAAGTAATTTTTAAATTTATTCACATATATGAATATAATTCACGTATATATATTTTTAATAATATATTTTTTTAAATAATTATTAAATTTTCTCAATCTCAAGCAATAAAATTTTTTTGTTTTTAACTTCTGCGAACATATATATTTTTAATTTAAATTAATATTTTTTTTTGATTTATACATATATTTTTTTACAATGCTTAACAAAAAGTATTTTAAATTCACCGTTTAACCGGACCCAACTAACTTCTTTCAAGTAACAATGTCTACTGAAACACAACTTATCTGCAACTTCTGTAAATGTTTGCTTTTGGTACAAAATGTGAATTCATTTTTTCAGATTACAACACACAACATATCGTCATAACAACCGACCGAAGAACAACCACCATTCCGACAGCTTCATTCACGATTTCATAAGTTTTTTTGTGCTTGCTTATATCCTGCATACGCTGTATTGTATATTGCTTTTACGCAACCTGTTGAAAGAATTGTTGCAGTTGCTTTCGTCATGTAGCGAAACATTGTAGCAAGCTTTTATATCAACATTACTAAACAAGAATCAGCAACAAATTGAATATATACATTAGCACTGAAGCAATATTGTTACAAATGACAGCAAATATGTTATAAACAAACGAAAAAAAATTGCATGGGAGAGAATATTATTTTATTGTGGATAAGTAAATGTAAATACAGAACTTAAGCTTTAATTAAAATTTTAAGATAATAATTTAATTCGTTTAACACAATGCGTGTATACTGGAACTTCAGCACACATTTCTGGGCCCAAATCCTTGTGTAAAGTGTGATAAAGAAAAAATTTCAAAAACCTTAAAAAATCCTTGTTAGTTCTATCTGAGCAATGGAGCTTTAAACAGTCTTTAAGTTCTTATTTTCTATTTATTCTTATTTCCTAAATTACTTGCAACAATTAAAAACGATATTATTTGAGAAGGACACTGGTGATCATTTAAACTATACAAATAAATTGACAGGCAAACTGAAATACTTCATATCAAACCATTTAATATATTTATTATTAATATAAATTCATTAATATCCCATTTACACATTATTTTTTTGTTTAAAAAAATTTTTTGTATGTATTTTAAATTTATTAATGTCTTGTTTGAATTCGGCTATTTTATATTTTTTTTTCGTTTCACATTATCAATTTATGAAATATTATATGTATATGTTTAATATATAGTTATGGTTGGGCAAAGTAGTCAGACGGTCCAGACTGATAAATATAGGGTGGCTTTCAGTAGCGGGGCGTCAGCTTTTTGGTGAAGTGTTCACAATTTGATCAAAACAGAATTCCAACTATAATGTATTCCCCCAACTTCTGAGTTTTGTACTTTCCACAAGCAAATAGCGTACAAGACCAACAAAACAATTTATTTAAATGTTCGCAGCCTGTGATCCATTGGTTTTTATGGTAAATATCTGTAGGAAAACAGCGACTTAACACAGATTTCGACAATTTTACATCAGGTACCAAATTCTTCATATCTGGAGTTGGTCTATTCATTTTATGAATTAAAACCTTTTTTTCAGAAGATCGTTTAAAAAATGATATTTGAATCAAATCTTTAATCACACATTTATCCATTTCTAAATATTATGTTTCACTTTAAATTTCTTTAATTTTTTTCTTTACTTTTACCATTTGCTAGTATAAAATTTCAATAATGACTTTGTTTTTGGTTTATTTCCAACCTCTACATAAGAGTAAGAACCTCTCATGCATTCATATACTCTTTTACTTTGTATTTACTATGCGCGGTTCAATTTTTTTACTGAACCATTTGCCCATATAAAACGGAAACCGTGACTTTGATTGTATTTGCACGCTTTGTATGAACTTGAGGTTCAGTTTAGTCGACTGAACCTCTAGTCAAATGTAAAGCGATTTTCGCTCAGTTATTTCTTTTCTTTTTTGTATTTACTTTGCATAACATTGGAGGTTCACTTTTTTATTGAACCGCTTGCACGCATTAATTTAAGAGTTATGATTATTTTACGTACATATTTTGTGGGGCTTGATTTCTCTTATTTTTATATTTGTTTGTATGTTTTGTATTGTATATTCAATATTGAACAGTCCCAATGTGAATGTGATTTCATTTGCATGCTTTGTAAGCAGCGCGGTGCATTTTTAATTGTGAACCTTAGTATATTTTAAGAGGAATGTATTTTCTCTTTTATTAATTATAAGTAATGTTGGGTGTAACTAACATATGTGTGCTTTTTTTTGTGTTTATATTAATCTGTTTGGAAGAGCTATTATAAAAAATTTTAATTAGTAACATAGCGAGATTATTTACCTAATAAAAAAAAAATCTAAGAATCTAAAAAGGAAGCTTTGTTAAGGTGTTCCATGAACACTCTGAATCATTCGACGCCTCGCCTCTGGTGGCTTTAGATCCAAGCCCATTGGTAGTCTTTCATTAGATATTTTTATTTTCCAATCACACTACATTTAGTACTTTTCTGTGCTGTACGGTAATAGTAGGCTATGTAATAACTTCACAGTAAATATATACATTGTATAATGTAACATATAAATTTTTTTATATATGTAGATAACATTTCTTGTTAAAATGTTTGTACGGTAGTGTATTGTAGTATTGATTAATTATATGGACAATATATAGCCATAGTCAAAAGTATTTACACAACGAAAGTTTTTGTACATATTGCATAAAAACATGTTTTTATTGTTGTTGTTGAACGTCAGTTGCAAAAAATTTTTTTGCTGTCACTTAGTTTTATCTATGCAGAACCAAATAAAAAAAGAATTGGAAAGATAACTGTTCATTTGACAAAAATATAAGCAACTGCGCTGATGCTTATTAGTAGTCAAAAGTATTTACATACAATTTTTTGCGTCAAAAGTATTTATACAAAACATTAATGAGCATTTATTCTAGGATTTCCTTTAAGTAAGTGCAGTTGTTAGCTTTTGTCACAAACTACACAAGTTTAGAGATTTCAAAATTTCAGAAATTATTTAGGAAAATGATAAAAACCAAGGAATTATCAGTTGAAATTCGATCTGAGGTTGGCACCTAATATAAGAGTGGGATTTCAGCGACGAATTTATTAAAGTTATGTAAAATTTTACATAAAACGATGTGAAATCTAGATAAAAATTAGAACATATGCAAAAATTTAATAAATTTGAAGAGAACTGGGTTGAAACCTCCCATGAATCAAAGGGAATGCACATGATTATTAGGAGTAGTCGTAGAAAATCCTACAATAAGTTTTGGCAAAATAGCAGCATCATCGGAAAAGTTGATTGGCAAGATTATTAGTGATGCTACACTACATCGCAGGTGGAAAAATATTAATATCAATACATATGTGGTGCACAAAATAGTCAAAATTACTCTAACGATCTTATTAAATATTCTCTCATTTGCTTTGAAGTATTTTAAGTAACCTATACAGTTTTAAAACAATATGTTATGAACAGATGAGTCTGAATTTCAATTCTAGGGTTTATTTGATAACCACTCCATGCATTTTCGACAACGCCAAAAGAATAAAACAATGCAGTCACTCAATAGATTTGAAGGTGGCACGGTTTTGTTTTTGGAATGTCTATCATGCTATGCATTTGGAGATTTGGTACCAAAAAATGGCACCTTAAATCAGTCCGGTTATATTGGTATTTTAAATAACCATGTCTTAACGTCAGAGAATAGACCTTTTCCAATCAATAACTGAGTTCTACAACATGACAATGCACCATGTCATCAAGGATATGGACTTAACCCAATTTTAAAAGAGTTAAATCCTACTGTTTTTTTATAGCCTGCACAGAGCTCTGGTCTTAATGTCATTGAACATGCTTGAAACTTCATAAAACAGCAAAATACTATTGATAAAAATCCAAAATGTAGTGATAGCATAATTGAAATAGCGAATATTCGGTCCAAATTGATTCGCAGCTGGATGCGATCAATTCCAGCTAGGTTACGGGCAGTTATTGATGCCAAAGGTGGTGTAACCAAATATTAATTATATTAATTAAATAAAAATAAAAAAATTTTTTAAAAATTCATCAATTAAGAAGAAGAAAATGAAATTAACGTTTTGTGTAAATACTTTTGACGCAAAAAATTGTATGTAAATACTTTTGACTACTAATAAGCATCAGCGCAGTTGCTTATATTTTTGTCAAATGAACAGTTATCTTTCCAATTCTTTTTTTATTTGGTTCTGCATAGATAAAACTAAGTGACAGCAAAAAAATTTTTTGCAACTGACGTTCAACAACAACAATAAAAACATGTTTTTATGCAATATGTACAAAAACTTTCGTTGTGTAAATACT